GCAATGATTGTGAGGGTGGTGCAGGACCGGGCAGTGTTTCATTCTGTTGTACATAGGATCACTGTGAGCCAGAACCAACACAATGGCACCTAACAACAACAACAACAACAGAACTCTACCGTTCTCCCTCTGAGCTAGCTCTGTGGAGGAGAATCTTCTGGTTCACAAAATGCCCGCTCATTGATGAAGGGATTGCGAACAATGCCCAGCAAGCTGTGGCAACTTAGGTTATGTCCTTAGAGTCTAAGTCACACATAATGGGCCTCAGGCTGTTTTTAGAAGGGTATGCTCGCAAGATTAGGCCCCTTGGCTGCTGTCTGGAAACCTGGATTTCTCGGGTTCCCACAGTGCCCTGACTGTTAAAGGCGTTTTACTGTGCCTAGAATGTGGGGGCCCTGGTGGCGCAGTGGTTAAGCGTTAGGCTGCTAATCAAAAGATCAGCAGTTCAAATCCACCAGTTGCTTCTTGGAAATCCTATGGGGCAGTTCTACTCTCCTATAGGGTCGCTATGAGTCAGAATCAACTTGTCAGCGATGGGTTAGACTGTGCAAACAGCTGAATACCTGCTTTCCTTCTGGAAGTTTGGAATTTTGGTACGAGCTAGGTAAGGATGCTTACATGACGAGCCCCCAGTAAAGCCCCTGTGCGCTGAGTCTCTAATGGATTTACCTGGACAGAAGCATTGTACACAAGTTACTGTGCTTTTCCCTGTACAGGAAGGAGAAGGCATAAGGAGGCCTGTGCATGGATTTCTCTAGACTTCACTTGTCTACTTCCCTTGCTGATCCTAACGTGTATCCTGCTGTAATAAACCACATGCTGAGTCTTGAATACCAACAAATCACTGAACACATGGGTGGTCTTAGGAACCCCTAAAACAGGATCCTTCACACATCAGTATTCAAATATGCTGTGATAGCTGTCGTGATTTAAAAACTGCTCTTGAGCACACATCTTCCTGTACCTATTGCCCTATCTCTCCATGTGTTTCCTTGCCATTTATTCTTCTCTGTTCTAACTTCTACTACCATTCCGCTAAAATGCTCCTGCTGAGGGCTCTGTTGACTTCTGTTTTGTCAAATCCAATAAACAGATTTTGGTCCTCAACTTATTTGAGATCACTAGCATTTAATCCAATTGATTACCCCCTTCCCCTTTGAAATTCTTCTCCTGACTTCCTTAATACATATTCCTGGTTTTCCTCCTACCTCTCTTGTCTATTCTTTCCAGAACTGCTCTTCTAACGTGACTTTAAGTGTTGTTTCCCAAGGTCTGGTCTCTTAGCCAAGATTTCAAAAATTTAAATGGGCATAAATATTTCAGGAGAACTCTTAATAATAAACAAAAAGCCAATTTTAAAATGGGAAAATCATTTGAATAGACATTTCTCAAAAGAAGAGACACAAATAGTAGCCACTAAGTCCATGAAAATGTGCTGAATGTCATTACTGAAAATAATGTGTGTTACACATTTGTGTTTGTTTTTTTTTTTTTTTTTTGGCCAAGTGAGCACTTCCTGCAAGAGGTATTTTCATAAGCTCACTGTGCTATTTTTTTTTACATGTTGCTATAAAAAAATTAGCATAGCACTTAGGAGGGAGGAGAGTGCTCAGGAAATGCGAATCAAAACCACAATACCACTTCACACCCACTAGGATGGCTCTAATCAAAAAGTGGGACAGTAACACATGCTGGCAAGGATGTGGAGAAATAGAACCCTTATACACTGATAGAAGAAACCCTGGTGGCACAATGGTTAAGTGCTTGGCTGCCAACCCAGAGGTTGGTGGTTCAAACCCACCCAGCAGCTTCGCAGAAGAAAGCCTTCATGATCTGCTACCATAAAGATTACAGCCTAGAAAACCCTATAGGGCAGTTCTACTATGTTGCATGAGGTAGCTGTAAGTCACAATTGACAGCACCTAACAACAACAACAACACACACTGCTGGTGGAAATGTAAAATGGCTCAGCCAGTTTGGAAAACAGTCTAGCTGTTTCTCAAAAAGTTAGACACAGAGTTCCCATGATCCAGCAATTCCACTCCTAGGTAAGAGAATGGAAGACATGTCCACACAAAAACTTGCACACAAATGTTCATAACAGCATTATTCTTTTTATACACATAGTTGATTGTTTAAGAGAGCATATTACTCACAGGTGATATTGTTTATTTTATAAGCCAATCTTACTTGACTGAAAGGTGACCTACAGAAATAGCTTCAGTTCTATGTTCAAAAGTATCTTAGGGCGATAGTCTCGAGGGTTCCTCTACTCTCTCATTGGTCCAGTAAGTCTGGCCTTTTTTAGGAATTTGAATTTTGTTCTACATTTTTCTCCCATTTTATCCAGGACCTTCTGTTGTGTCTCTGGTCAGAAAGGTTGGTAGTGATAGCCAGGCACCATCTAGTTCTGGTCTCAGGTTAGAAGAGGCTGTGGTTCATGTAGGCTGTTAGTCCTGTGGACTAGTGTCTCCTCTGAGTCTTTGGTTTCCTTCATTTCCTTTAGCTCCAGATGAGTAGAGACCAATAGTTGTATCTCAGATGGCCACTCGCACTTTTAAGACCCCAAATGCTACTCACCAAACTAGAAGGTAGAACATTATGAACTATCCTGTGCCAAGTTAGTTATCCCACAAGACTATGGTCCTAAACCTTTTAACCCAGTAAATCCCATGAGTTATTTGGCTATGTCTAGGAAGTCTCCATAACAGTACCCCCTATGTTTTTTATTATATGGGTATATATGCAGCACACCAAAACACGTCTATACATATGCCTACAACACACCTGTACATGCACGTGCATTTATTCACATACGCCTTCCTATACACATACATGCATACCTACCTACCATGTAACCATGCACATGTTATTTGGTTATTACTGTTGTTGCAAAATTGTGTGTGTCATAGCACTTACTGAAATTGTACCTTTTTCTTGTGTACTTCTTAGTGTCTTCATTTACATTGGTCAAGTTGTGTAGACTTCACCCATATTTGGTATTGCTTTCCTATCACCAAAAATAACAAGTGTCTACCATCTAGAAAGCGATTCCCCCTGCTTCCTTGTCCCATTTCCTGGTAACCATCTAAGAACTTTGCATTCTGTGTGTATATCTATTCTTGACTTTTTATAATCGTGGAACCATACAATATTTGTCCTTTTGTGATTGACTTATTTTACTCAGCATAGTGTCCTCCAGATTCACCCATGTTATGTTTTGCAGACTCATTATATATATATTCTGTACAGTTACATAGTATTCCATTGTTTGTATGTACCACAATTTGTTTATCCGTTTATCTGTTGATGGGCACTTAGGTTTTTTCCAACTTTTTGCTATTGACAGTAATGCTACAATGAACATAGGTGTGTATATGTCTCTTCGTGTGACTGCTGTTCTCTCTCTTGGATATATACCTATGAGTGGGATTGCTGGATCATAAGGTATTTCTATATCTAGCTTTTTGAGGAAGTACAGCTTGTCCATAGTGGTTGAACCATTTTAAGCAGCATTATTCTTAATAGCCAAGAAGTGGAAACCCAAATATCCATCAACTGATGAAGGGATAAACAAAATGTGGTGTAGCCATACAATGGAATATTATTCATCCATAAAAAGGAATGAAGTACTGCTACATGCTATGACATGGATGAAACTTGAAAACACGCTAAGTGAAAGAAGTCAGACCCATAATGAAATTGTATTATTTCATTTATATGAAACATCCAGAATAAGCAAATCCATAAAGAAAGAAAGTGGAGAAGGTATGCAGTAAAGAGTGAGGTGGTCCAGGCTGGGTTCACCCTGAGGAAACACTTGAGTATTTTCTTCTGTTCTGTCTCTGCTTCTTTTTTCCCAGAATGTTGATTTTTTTGGCTTTTAGGTAGAGTGTATATTTTCCTTTACTCCTATTTCATTCTTCAAAAAGGCCCAAGCAGAGACCATGCCACTTGCCTTTCACTACCACTTGGGGTACTAACACTTTGCATGCACAGGCCAAGAACCATGGACAATGTACTCATCTTTTACCATTTTTTTTAAATCCATGGAGTTCTCATAAAAGTTTAAATATCTATGACTTGTTCCTAATCAGTAAGTTTTAAATTTGGTTCTTATTCCTCCTCACACCCACAGCTGGATTTGACTATTCTCTTTGCAGTCAAATCCTGCTGAAGGCCTGTATTTTCTTTATTCCTATGGTCTTCTTTCTCAGTGGTGGCTCAAACTCTTCCAACCCCAATTCTGTTCTTCCTCTGCCCATTTCCTTCCCCTTATTCCTCCTCTGCACATTCTACCACCCTGAAGTAGATTCTACAGTTGACTCCTCCTCAGGACCCTGCAGGCTTCTGTAAAAGCATAAAGTGGCACAATGATTAAGCATTTGGCTAACTGAAAGATTGACTGTTCAAACCCATCTAGCAGCTTCACAGGAGAAAGACCTGGCAATCTGCTCTTGTAAAGATTAAAGCCTAGAAAACCCTACTAGGCAGTTCTACTCTGTCACATGGGGTCACTGTGAGTCAGAATCAACTCGACAGCATCTAACAGCAACAACAATAGAGACAATTACGACCAAAGGCCAAGGAAATGGAGTCAAAAAACACCTTTATTTTCATTAGAAACTTTATCCAGTGGCCTAACCTATCCTTCCTCTTCTCTGTCCTCTTTTTGGTGGTGGCTGGGTTACAAAGAATAATGACCTTGTACTCTGAAAATAAAGTAGTACATAATAGTAGGTGCCTAGAGGTCAATTACTGGTTTAGAAAAGATACAAGCTGTTAACTTCTAGACGTGCTTTCCATGAGAAGAATTTCTTTCTCAGCCCTGTGTGAGAGCCACTTGTGCTATGCTCTTACCTGGCCCAGAAACACTTCTCAGACCATTGGTCACCCATTCTTGGTGTTGGGAACAGAACACCCTGGTTTCCTTGCAAGACTTATGAATCCTATAACCTTTCCTTCAAAGCAAGATGTAAGTCTACAGCGACATACTGCTTTGGAGTCATGAGTGGAGCTAAGGGAGTTCAGCATTCTTATTCCTTTTTCTATTCCTGGACATGGTTCTTAAGCTCCAGTTGTCAAATGGCTAATATATCTTCCTACAAACAGAAGGAAGCTCTAAGAAGCACATATTGGTCTAAAGAATTGACCTGTCAGGTTTCCTACACACTTATGTAACACTTCTCTTCCTTCCTGTGATGTGAGTGTCTCTTTCATGGGAATTTCCTTATGGTGGGTGAGTCTAGACTTCTTTATGAAGCTTTTCTCACACTGAGAGCACTTGTAAGGCTTTTCCCCAGTGTGGGTTCTCTGGTTGGCACTGAAGTGGGAACTGATGTTAAAGCTTTTCCCACACTCCACACACTTGTATGGGCTCTCCCCAGCATGGCCTCACTGGTAAGCATTGAACTGGGAACTGTTGTTGAACCTCTTTCTACATATGGTACACAGACAAGGCTTCTCCCCAGTGTGGGTCCTCTGGTGGACAATGAGGCTAGAGCTCTGGTTGAAGCTTTTCCCACATTTCCCACACCAGTAGGGTCTCTCCCTTCTGTGAGTTCTGAGGTGGGTAGTGAGATTGGAGTGCTCACTAAAGCCTTTCCCACATTCAGTGCACTTGTGAGGCTTCTCTCCTGTGTAGATTCTGTGATGCCGAACAAGATGAGAACCTCGGCTAAAGCTTTTTCCATATTCATGACATTTAGGGGCTTTTTCCAGTCTGGGCACTGGCGTGTAGGGGAAGGAGGAGCTCTGAGAGCAGTTTTTCCCCACACATGAGATGTTTACAGGCTTTCTTCCCAATAGAAATTCTCTAGTAGACACGTCCTCTCCTGGGATGTGGGTTTCTCCTCACTCTCCCCTGGATAATTTCTTCCTTGCCTTCTTGATGTTGGCTCAGTCTTCCAGGCTATTTTTAGCTCAAAGTACTGAGAAACTTCTCCACTAGACTTTCTCTGCAAAGTGTTGTTCATTTCTACTTCTTCTGAATTATTGCATTTTGGATGCTCGCTTTTAATCTCTTTCTTGATCTTAAAACCTGAAAGAATAGAAGTACATTAACTGTAATATAGAAAAGGGAAACAATGGAATGAGAAAAGAGTTACAACTATTATAAAGAAAAAATACCTCATTGTAATCCTGCAATGTGGTTAAGTCTTGGCTAATTAAAAAATCTAAGTTTTATTTTCCAATTGTAATGTTTTTAGAGTACCAGAAACCTGAGACTGTCACTGTTTCCACCAGCTCCAAATTCTGTGGTCACAGGAAACTTATACCCTAAACTCCACCAACTTCTTTTTTTTGGCTCTTTTGACACAAGGACAAACTGAGGCAAAGAGTCAAACTTTATGTCATCTGTCAGTCTGTTTATAGGTATAGTCTCAATTCTTGAATGGCCTAACCTCTGGGAGCAAAATGGTAAGAGGCGACCCTGGGTGTGGCCAACTCAAACAAGAAGGAAGCAAGTTGCTGAGTAGCTGGCAAGAACACGCTTGGGCTACAAAAGGCATATCAGTGCTGGAGAGGTCCAGAAGAAGATGGAGTCTGGTCTGAAGGCCTACTTCAGTTCAAGGAAGCAAAGTGAAAGTCTACAGAGAAAGATGGCATGGATTCAGTGAAAGAAGATGGCAAATGCAAAATCAGGGCTGCAAAATGCAAGGGAAATAATCCTTAAATATGAAAACCAAGACTCACTGTCCTATACAGGATCAGACACCATGACAATGACAAAACCAGGAGCAGAAACAGCTGCCCCTTGATTCCTAGGTTAATGTTCTTCAGATGAACTTTCCCATTCTTTAACCATCAGAGCCAAGAGAATCTTACCAAGTCTGTTTGGGCACAGGACTTACAATATCCTGTCCAGTATTGCTGAAGTCCTTTTTGTCTCTGCCTGCACCATCTCTAGTGGCACCTTCTTCAATATCAGTGGGCACCTCATTCTGCTGATTCAGCTTTGCAGCCTGGGTAGCACTTCTGTTTGGGCCAGGAACACCACTGCTTGCCATAGCAGGAGCAGAGGCCAAGGAGATCAAAAGAGCATCCATCTCCTCATAGAAAGTGCAAGCCTCAGGCACATGGTCTCTCCTCATTCTGTGCTAGCTTGACTGTAGACTTTCGAACTTGGTGTGACACTGCTCCGGGGTCCACAGAAAGCCCTGCTCCCAGAGTCATTCTGCCACAGCCCTGTACATCTGGCTGTTCCACTGTCGAGTTTTGAGTTTTTCATAAAGCTGAAAATTACTGAGAATGGCTAGGAGTGTCTTGGCCTCTTCATAGCCCCTGTGCACACATGCTGCCAGAGGACAAAGAATACAGCCATCATATCAGAGGGGACTGTGATATTGCAGTGCAGGGCTTTAGTACCCAAGAAGTTCTATACTAGTTTCTTAAACTACGCCACAACTGACTACTGTTATTCCTGGGAAGATCTCTCACTGCGGGCTTTTTATCTAAAACATTTAGTGTGGTAGAAAGGAATCCTCTCCAACTGAAAAGGAGTTACATAGTTATCTCTACAGCTGCTCTTCCTATTTTTCCCTAATTATTCTGAATTCCACTCATTTCTGCTGGAAAGATGCCTTTTGAAAAGGGTAGTGTCTTGCCTCTCTCCAGAGTTGTAGGAATCCCCGAGAGTGTATGGCCACATGAGAGGACAAAGTGAAAAGGTGAGAGTTGGAGAGAAGCAAAGACTTGGAGGAAAAAAGAGCTGGTTATAGGATACATCTGCCTACTCCCACTTTTAATATTTGAGTAACTCCTGAGCCTATCTTCATCTGTCTGTTCTCCTGTAGTCCCATCTGTGCAAGAAACTAAATTACAACAGTTAATATCCTAACCATCACGTGTATGTCAGTTTGTCATAGTACAGTGGCTTGCATGTTGCTGTGATACTGGTAGGTTTGCCACAGGTATTTCAAATACCAGCAGGGTCACCCTTGGTGGACAGGTTCAGCAGAGCTTCTAGACTAAGACAGACTAGGAAGAAGGACCCGGCAGTCTACTTCTGAAAAAATTGGCCAGTGAAAACCTTACTACCAGCAGTGGAACTTGTCTGATATAGTGCTGGAAGATAATCCCTTCAGGTTGGAAGGCACTCAAAATACGACTGGGGAAGCGCTGCCTCCTCAAAGTAGAGTCAACCTTAATGACATGGATGGAGTCAAGTTTTTAAGACCTACATTTGCTGATGTGGCATGACTTAAAATGAGAAGAAAGAGCTGCAAACATCTGTTAATAATCAAAATGTTGAATGTACGAAGTACGAGTCTAGGAAAATTGAAGAGCATCAAAAATTAAATGGATCACATAAAGATGGATGTCCTAGACATTAGTAAGCTGAAATGTCCTGGTATTCGCTGTTCTGAATCAGACAATCATACGGTCTACTATGCCAGGAATGACAAATTGAAGAGGAATGGCATTGCATGCACTGTCAGAAAGAACATTTCAAGATCTATACTGAAGTACTGTGCTGTCAGTGATAGGATAATATCCATAGGTTTACAAGGAAGACCAGTTAATACAACTGTTATTCACATTTACACACTAACTACTAAGGCCAAAGGTGAAGAAATTGAAGATTTTTACCAACTTCTGCAGTCTGAAATTGACCAAACATGGCAATCAAGATGCATTGATAATTACTGGTGATTGGGATGCAAAAGTTGGAAACAAAGAAGAAGGATTGGTAGTTGGAAAATATGGCCTTGGTGATAGAAATGATGCCAGAGATTGCATTACAGAATTTTGCAAGACCAACGATTTCTTTATTGTAAATATCCTTTTTTCAATAACATAAACGGCAACTATACACATGGACCTTGTCAGATAGAATACATAGGAATCAAATCGACTACATCTGTGGAAAGAGATGGTGTAAAAGCTCAATATCATCAGTCAGAACAAGGCCAGGGGCCAACTGTGGAACAGACCATCAGTTGTTCATATGCAAGTTCAAGTTGAAGAAAATTAGAACAAGTCCACAAGAGCCAAAGTACAACCTTGAGTATATCCCACTTGAATTTAACAGACCATCTCATGAATAGATTTGACACATTGAACACTAATGACCGAAGACCAGACAAGTTGTGGAGTGACATCAAGGACATCATACATGAAGAAACTAAGAGGTCATTAAAAAGACAGAAAAGAAAGAAAAGACCAAAATGGATATCAGAAGAGACTCTGAAACTTGCTCTTGAACATAGAGTAGCTAAAGCAAAAGGAAGAAATGATGAAGTAAAAGAGCTGAACAGAAGATTTCAAAGCGTGGCTCGAGAAGACATTGCAAAACATTTTGATGATAGTATTATTCCCCTGCTCAGAGCCACTTAAGGCTACTCCATTCACTCAGTATAAAAGTCAAAGTCCTTACGATAACCTCAAAGTCCTACATTAGTGCCTATCAGATTATCAGTAGTGAAAGAGCAGTTTTTTGTTTGCTTTGTAAAATACAATAAAAATGTAGTTAGATGGTGCAGCAATGTCAGATTGCTATAAAAGTTTCTAAACGCTTGCTCTCAATTTCAGTTCACCTTGCTTTCCAGAGCACTGTCCTATGTGAGCTGGCGCTGTGATCTCATTTTTTTTATTACTCTCATCTTCTCTCAATCTGCACCAGTCACAGCCTTGCTCCAGACTCAGAGCCTTTACATTGGCTGTTCATGGAGCAGGCTGTAGGTTCTGGGGCTCCATTTCTTGGCCTGGCTGCTTGCTGCCGGTTTTGTAGCTGTTTGATTCTTCCACTGTGTCCTCATCCTCCACATCTTTCTGCTTCCATGGCCCCTGACATGGCCTCTTGGCCTCAACAGTCCTATCTGCCAAGTTCCTGGGACAACTGGTGGGCCCTGTGAGGTCAGCAGAGTGTCCATCTCTTCCTGAAAGGCACAGGGCTCCGGGCTGTGGCCTGGCTTCCCTTGGCAGTAACTGGCCTGGAGTTTCTGAACTTGGTCCAACACTGTTCCAGCGTCTGGTGGAAACCCCATTCACACAACAGCTCAGCAACTTCCCCATATTGCTGGCTGCTTGGCTGGTGCACCTGGAGTTTTTCATAAAAGCCAGGCTCACTGAGAATAGAAACTCCTGGTCTCCTCGTAAGCCCAGTGTGGGCCTGCTACTTTCTCATCTGCCAAGTCCAGCTGTTCCGTGTCACCCCTGAGGTTTTCTCCTCCCTTTACTGATTTCTCATGAGCTTCCACTCCGGTCCCACTTGTGGAGCTCTTTGAAGGCTTCACCTCTCTGCAGCCATGAAAATCTGGAATCCCCATGTGTTTTCCGTGATCCAGCCCAGAGACCACATTTGGGCTGTGAATGGGAAATCGTGCATGTGAAGAAGCAGAGAGGCGACATCAAGAGCCACACTCGCTATGGAGGCTGTCTCTGAATCCAGATAGTCTGTCCCCAGAAGGGGCAGAACTGAGAAAGGGGAGGAGCAGTCTACTTGGCAGAACCACCTCCCTAAGAGTCCTGAGACCCGGGAAAGGGGCTCTTGGTTCCTCCTGAAGGGCCTGGGCATAGAAGTAGACTGTCGGGTTGGGATGTTTTGCTTGTATTTTAATCTCCTGTGCCCTGGAGATGGCACAGCTATCTGTGCATGTGAGTACATGCTCATTCTCTCTCACCTGGTCCTCTGAGTCCAAGCCTAGGTGGCTATCTGCCTCACTGTCTTTTTCTGGTTGCCTGTCTGCCTGCCTCACTGCCTTGCTGGTTGCCTGTCTGTCTGGCTCATTGCCTTGCTGGCTGCCCCTCTGTCTGGCTCACTGGTTGCCCCTCTGTCTGCCTCACTGCCTTGCTGGCTGCCTGCCTGTCTGTCTGCCTCACTGGCTGCCTGTCTGTCTGCCTCACTGGCTGCCTGTCTGTATTTCCCTCGCTGTCTGTCTTGCCTCACACGTTGTTTCTCACCTTCCCCGCTCCCTCTTTACCTCCTCACACACTCATTGTCCCCCACTATCTCATGCTTCCTCCCTCCCTCTTGCTCACACTGTCTGTCATGGATTGAATTGTGTCCTCCAAAAAATGTGTGTAGCAACTTGGCTAGGTCATGATTCCCAGTATTGTATGATTGTGGTATCTGATGTGATTTCCTTATGTGTTGTAAACTCTACCATTATGATGAGATTACATGTGATCTCCTCATGTGTTGTAAATTCTATCACTGTGATGAGGTTATATTCATGAGGTTGACAAGAATAGTGTTTTAATGCAATCTCTTTTGAGATATAAAAGAGAGAAGCGAGCAGAGACACATGGGAACCTCATACCACCAAGAAAGCAGTGCCGGGAGCAGAGCGCATCCTTTGAACCTGAGGTTCCTGCGCAGAGAAGCTCCCAGACCAAAGGAAGACTGATGACACGGACTTTCCTCCAGAACCAATGGAGAAAGCGTTCCCCTGGAGCTGATGCCCTGAATTTGGACTTGTAGCCTACCGGACTATGAGAGAATAAATTTCTCTTTGCTAAAACCATCCACTTGTGGTATTTCTGTTGGAGCAGCACTAGATGACTGAGACACTGTCACACATGCTGTCCGTCCTGGTCATGAGACCTCTGACTCGTGTGCTTTCTTTCAATCTCCTGTCTCTCTGCGTCTTTGTTTTTCTGTGTCTATCTCTCTTGCCTGCTCTCAATATTTTCCTGTTTATTTCCTTCTTTCCCTGTACCTACCAGTCTCCTTCTGTCTCCTTTCCTCTCGGGTTCTTGTGGTCTCTGTCTCTCTCT